GTATTTTGTGGCATCGGTTGTAATACCTCCCATTTCATTTCTAATTGAGCTTGTCTGGATCTTCTCTCTTCTTTTCTTGGTTAATCTCACAAATGGTCAATTTTATTTATCTTTGCAAAGAACCAGCTTTTTGTTTCATTTATCTTTTGTATTTTGTTTGTTTGTTTGTTTCAATTTTATTTAGTTCTACTCTGATCTTCGTTATTTATTGGGTTTGGGTTTGGATTGTTCTTGTTTCTCCACTTCCATGAGGTGTGACCTTAGATTGTTTATTTGTGCTTTTTCGGACTTTTTGATGTAAACATTTAATGCTATGAAACTTTCCTCTTAGCACTGCTTTTGCTGTATCCCAGATGTTTTGATAGTTTATGTCACTATTATCATTCATTACAAAGAATTTTTTAATTTCCATCTTGATTTCATTGTTGACCCAATGATCATTCAGAAGTAGGTTATTTAATTTCCATGTATTTGCATGGTTTTGAGGGTTCCTTTTGGAGTTGATTTCCAATTTTATTCCACTGTGGTCTAAGAGAGTACTTGATATAATTTTGATTTTCTTAAATTTACTGAGACTTGTTTTGTGGCCTATCATATGGTCTGTCTTGGAGAATGTTCCATGTGCTGATGAATAGAATGAATATTCTGCAGTTGTTGGGTAGAATGGTTGGTAAATATCTGTAAAGTCCATTTGTTCTAGGGTATAGTTTAAGTCCATTGTTTCTTTGTTAATATTCTGTCTTAATGACCTGTCCAGTGCTCTCAGTGGAGTATAAAATTCCCCCACTATTATTTTGCTGCTGTCTATCTCATTTCTTAGGTCTAGTAGTAATTGTTTTATAAATTTAGGAGCTCCAGTATTAGGTGAATATATATTTAAAATTGTGATATTTTCCTGTTGGACTAGTTATTTTATCATTGTATACTGTCCCTCTCTGTCTTTTTTAACTGCTGTTGCTTTAAAGTTTGTTTTGTCTGATATAAGGATAGCTACTCCTTGTTGCTTTTGGTGTCTATTTGCATAGAATATTTTTTCCACCCCTTTACATTAAGTTTATGTGAGTCTTTATGTGTTAGGTGAATCTCCTGAAGACAGAAGAAACTTGGTTGGTCAATTCTTATCTATTATGCATTTTTTAAGTGAAGCATTTTAGGCCATTTACTTTCAATGTGAGTATTGAAATGTGAGTTACTATTCTATTCATTGTACTATTTGTAGCCTGAATACCTTGGCTTTTTTTCATTGTGTTATTGTTATACAGGTCCTGTGAGATTTATGCTTTAAGGAGGTTCTATTTTGGTGTATTTTGAGGATTTTCTTTTTGGTTATTATGTATTCATAATTATCACTTATTGAGGATATACTGTATGTTAGGTTTGCTTTAGTTTCTTCGCGTATTTTCTGCAATACCTACAACATTACTACATGATAGCATCCTTATTATCATTTATAAAATCAAGGCCCTGAGGCTTTAAAGTTAAGTGACTGGATTACACAACTAGTAAAACTGGGAGTAGAACCTCAATTTGTTGAAATCCAAAATGTGCTTCACTAAGTCATACTCTCGTCTATTGCTCAACAATCAATGGACACATGAGCAACTTAGTTTCTCAATCTTTAATTTTGTCTTGGCTTAAATATCCTTTCATAGGATTGTTACCAATATTAACAGTCTGGTTATCTTTAAGACAATATATATGCTCTTAAAATAGTCTTTCAAAGTAAATATTTTCATCAGTACTCTTACCAGTAGGGTTAGGAGGTTGGACTAATGAACTCTAAGTTCTGACATTTTCTAAATTATAATTCTATTATACAACTGCATTAAGACATTAAGACAAGAAGACACATGAGAAATATTGAGAAGCATAATTCAGAGAGGTAATAAGTTTCCTTACAAGTTTAATGTCTTACTACAGCCTAATAGGTCTTGCCTTAGAAGTTCAGCCTCTTAATATTACTTTTCACATAACATACTCTTGACAGCATTTATTATTAATGATCATCTATGAGTTATGAAGGACAAAATCATGTGAATGGAATCCAAAAGTCAAACAACCATCTCTCAGAAGCAATTGAACCTTATCCAACTGCAGCATAATTTTGGGAATGAGCTAAAGAGCAGAACTAAAGAAAATGCTTTGCTTGGGGTAGTGATTTAATCTCTAAGGAGTGCCACCAGAAATATAAATGGAGCAGGAGAGAGGAAAAAGTGGTCACGGTATTAAGAAACATGCATGGTCAGTCCCACAATAGGTCAGTTGTATGTGCAACCCTGAACTTTAAATCACATGGATTCTGAAGGCTTGGACGCAGATGTATTTCTTCATTCAACACTCCCTGGCTCCTCGGTATTGGCAAATTCAGATCTGTAAAGGGTCAAATGTGTTGAACTCCTGTCAAATTTTCCAGGGTGGGTTAAAGTTAGTAATTTTCTTCTTAATCCTGAGGCCACAGTGTGTTCAAGTTAGAAATCTACTCCATATGTTCATGATATTATTTCACAGAAGCTCCTAAAAGATTTCTTCATGAGAACTCTGTGAGGTTTCCAAACATCCCTGGCCTCTTAAGATTGGTTTAACTTCAACATTAGAAATAAAAACATCATTAGTTAACATCAGTATCTCTTATTGAGACTCTAGTATATGCAAAGCACTTTTTCGTGCATTATCTCATTGAATTCTCACAACCAGCCAGCCAATTGGATGGAAGCATCTCCTTTTTCAGATACGAAGGCACAGATGGATAAACAGCAACTCAAATGTGTCCAGCTGGCTTATGGCCTCTGCTGAGGGCTGAACCTTGAGTCTATCTGGCTCCAAAGCTCATATCCTTTTACTACATCACACTGTTTCTAAAGCTGGTTTCTTTTTAGATTAGAAAATGATAGGTATTCTCTTGAAATATGGGATATGCCCTTGTTTAGAAGAAAATGAAGCCCAGCAACATGTTCTCTGTTACCTAGCCCCTTCCTTCCCCAGCTGACCTGCCGGCCATAGTGATATTGTAATGTTATTATCCTTATAGAAAGGGTTCTTCGTTTGGGTCTTTTAAAACTGCAAACTAGTCATTCGGGGGGGGGGGGGGGGGAAAGGCAAGCAGCTTGAATTTGTACCCGTAAGTTTGTTTGCTTGCCCATTACTCGTGTCCCTTTTCTTTAAACTGAACTTGTCAAACTGTTTTTACAAGTATTGAAAATGTTGCCACCCATTTAATCTTCTCTAGAATAAAAATTCTAAATGGTTTTGTAGAGAACTGAAAAGTGCTAGTTTTGCTAACATTTGGAGAATTTGAAATTAAAATGGAAAGATGTTAAATGATCAAAAAGGCAAGAGAAATGTCACCAGAGCCAAGATTACGTGCCCTGACTCACCAGCTCCATGGTTGCATTCTCACTGAAGTGTCTGGTATCTTGTACCTTAAGAAAATGCAAATTTGACTTATTCTTGCAAGATGCTAACAAAGTCAACTTTAAATCTAATAAAATAAAAAATCTCCAGCGAATTCTCAAGTAGAAGAATTAAAAATAGGAAAATAAAAAGTCTAAAAGAAGCAAAAAAAATTTTTTATGCCATCCACTCCGTGCCAGAATCCTGCCAGGTATTTTAACCTAGTACCTTTTTCTCATTGTGACCCAACAAAGTAGGTTTTATTCTCATTTCATAAATGAGGCATCTGAGTTCTTCATCTGAGGTCATAAATCTTTTTCAAGGTCACACAAGAAGTAAATAGAAAACCTAGTATCAAAACTAAGTTCTAACTCCAAAACCCATTCCTTTTTCATTTTATTAAACTGTTGCCTTGAATTTTAAAATACATGAAATAGTCACTAAACTACATTTTCATTGACTAATAATTATTATGGGAGAATTCCTGTAGAGTAGTTCATAAAGCAGTAGAACTTGCCAAGTAAACACATTTTTAATGATGATGACCAAAGCATACTCATACATTTAAACAGGTGAGGTGATCATTATATTGCTCGCCTGTTTAAACAAGATTTTCATTCATTTAAGAAATATAACATGGCATGATGCATGTTTGGAAGAGATAAGACATACCTCTGAGCCACCATCTGAGGGGGTGAAGGCAGGGACCCATGATGTGAGAGGAAAGACAGTGATGCAAAATGTATTTTATCTCAAAGAAGCATATGCCTTGAGGTCTTTTCATTGAAAGCATTAAAGTCCAAGGGAAGAAGAAAAACTACAGAGCCTTTTCTTATTTTCCTCATCAACATGAAATGATTTATCTTACTTGCCTTATGTTTTATGCCATAAATAGAAAACATTGATAGAATAACTGTGCAAACACTTCCAAATAACTATTTCAAATAAGTTAGGAAAATATTATCTATTGAATCACTCTGATGCCATTAATATTGAAATGAGAAACATCACACAGTTCATCCGAATCAGTGATCATTTAAGTAAAATACACTGACACAGGATTTTGCATTTTTCCTCTGTAAGAAAGAAGCATCAGTGGAAAGCAATAGAGGAACATAAACAAAACAGACCGTGATAAGAAAATAGGTGGTCCCAGAATCTGTGTGAGAAATCTCAGACTCACACTCCTGGCACCATTCCTCCTTGTGCCTCTTTGGAAGCTCTAGCTCCTCCAGATCTTGGCTGTTACTTTTTCCAAAAGACACAACTCATCTGACTTGATGTGAAAACCCACCCTTGGGTCATTATCACCAGGTAATGGCAAATGCAGAGAAAACCCTATGCTTCCAAATCCTGGATTCTCTCATTCCCTTGGAATGTGCCACTTTCCAGGAAGTGTTCAGGTCCCTTACGTCAGTAAGCTCCTCACCAGGACTCTCAGCCCTACCCCATGCAAGTTTGCTGCACCTCTCTGAATCTGAAAGCAGGTTAGCACAGCCTGATCTTTCCCAAGTATGGAGAATTAAACCACAGGCTCTATTTCAGTGAGTCATCACTCCTCTTCTTGTCTATTCTATGTCTAGGAAGATTTGTTTGCTCTTGTTACTCACCAGTCTTGTACCACCAGACAGCTTGGCTGCCTCTCAGTTATTTCATCTATTCAACTAGCGTTTGGTCATCCCCGTCATCGTGATGTGCAGCAGATGGCTTGGGTTGTCCTCCTTCCTGCCCAGCAGAGTTGTGTTACAATAAGCATGACTTCAATGCCTGTCAGCTAGCAGTGCTCCAAGCCACCACTTGCAAACTCCCTTCAGGCAATTTAATGAGGATGTTTAAGTGGTTATCTCAGTCCGTTTTCTGTTGCTTATGGCAGAATACTTGAAACTAGGTAATTTATAAAGAAAGGAAGTTTACTTATTATATTTTGGAGGCTGAGAAATCCAAGGTTAAGGAACTACATCTGATGAGGGCCTTTCTGCTGGTGGGGACTCTGCAGATCCCCAAGTTGATTCAGGGCATCACATGGTAAGGGGGCTGAGTGTGATCGCTCAGATTTCTCTTCTTCTCTTACAAAGCCACCAGTCCCATTCCCATGATAACCCACTAATCTATTAGCTTATTAATCTATGAATGGATTAATCCTGCCCTCATGACCCAATCGTCCCTTAAGGATTCCACCTCTCAATACTGCCACATTGGGGATTAAATTTCAACATGAGTTTTGGAGGGGACATTAAAACCATAGCAGTTGTGCTACAACAACTGACTGTGAAACTCAGGAGTATAGTCTCTGGTATATAACAGTCTGAGACAGTTACACTGCCATCTTCCTCTTGACTTAACTTGGGTCTGAGATTCAACTTGGCATGCCCCATAGGCTGGTATTCCATAAAACATGCTACATTTTTTAATGTAGTTTTCTACGCTATGCCAACCAAATGCCACGCTATTCATACAAATTTAATTTAAAACAATCTGTAATAGTCCGTTTTCATGCTGCCGATAAAGATGTACCTGAGATTGGGCAATTTACAAAAGAAAGAGATTTAATGGACTTACAGTTCCATGTGGCTTGGGAGACCTCACAATCATGGTGGAAGCTGAAAGGCACATCTCACACGGCGGCAGACAAGAGAAGACAATGAGAGCCAAGTACAACGGGTTTCACCATATCAAACCATCAGGTCTCATGAGACTTATTCACTACCAAGAGAACAGTATGGGGGAACTGCCCCCATGATTCAATTCTCTCCCACCAGGTCCCTCTCACAACACATGGGAATTATGGGAGTACAATTCAAGATGAGATCTGGGTGGGGACACAGAGCCAAACCTTATCACTAAGCAAAATCCTTTATTCTTTCAAATATGCTTCTAATATCACACGTCAACTTAGAGCAAGAAAACCTACCATATGGCTAGGATAATTGTTGGGAAAAATATTGAAAGACATTGTTTTATTCTACCAATCTAAACTTGTGTTTCTCACCACTGGTAGTATATTAGAATCCCCTATGGGACTTACAAAAATTATAGACGCCTTAACTCCAGATTGCTCATGTTCCCTCCCAAAACATCAAGCTGCCATTCAAGCTTTTTCCATGTAGCAATATTGTAGCAATATTGTAAGGCTAATTCTGAGGCTCTAATAGAAATGTGGCTAACTAATGAATACCTTGAGCATCTCCATTTTACAGTGAGAAATATTACTGTAGCCATGAAATATGTTCATATTCCAACCAGAGTTTGCCCTTCCCACTGGGGCCGAGGCTAAGAATTCCAGCTGGTAAATGGATAAATAGAATAAACATCCATGTAAATAATAAGGAGATTGCAATTAGGATCTGCTTTTAACACTTACACCTTTCTGTGATCATCTGGTTAAACCATTCATCTTTTTTAAAAATAAAAGTGTTGTTCTCTTACAAGTCATTGCCTGAGTTATCCCGGATGCTCAGGTTACAAGAATAGATACATTCAGGCTATCTCAAATGTTAAATAAACACTGTAGGCCTATGAGAAAGGAAAGAAACTTCAAAACTAACTCTGCAATAGATACCAAAGATTGAAAGCAGAATGTTCTTTGTAATTTTTTAGGGTAGAATAGATGGTTCCTAGAGAACAACTCTAGAATTCATCTCCTTAGCAAAGCATGGCATTGTGATCTGCACAGGAAAACTCGAAATGCTTCAAGTAGAAGGAATTTCATGTAGGAATTGGTTTCACAAGTGGTGAAAAGGTGAGAAGATCAACAGGCACTAGTGGGTCCCATTACAATCAACAATAATCTGCTGTCCCCCCGAGAGCTGGAAAGACAAAGAGAGAAGGTCGTGTTACAAGAAACCACAAAGTATGGCCACCTGGGGGAAAGAGAACCATGGTGGGCCTGCCTGGTGGGAGGTTGCACTATCAAACGAGGTGCTTTCAGGCAGGAGCTGGAATCATAAAGGTTATATAGCCTCTGTCAGAGACACCAACCGAGTCAGGAAGAGAGGGAAAAATATGCCAGCTTTTCCCTTCTTCCTGCAGCCACATCTCCTACCAGTGCCTTCCATCAGCTTAACATAACCAGGAGTTAGTGATAGACATCAGTGCTGGAGAAATATAGAGAATTAGTCCGAGGGCAAAGAGGCAAATTTCAGTACAGAGCGTATCTGTGGCTCCCAGTTCTATCACTTCACCGTCCTGATGATTCAGCATCTCAGTCTCTGTTTTATATGTTATGAATTCAAACTCACAAAAAGAAAGGGTATGTTTGGGTTGATTAGCCCTGCTCAATCTAAAGCAGTGTTATTAGGTACAGTTCTGTAGCAATACAGTTTCTATAAAACTCCTTTTCATTGAGCCACTTGTTCAACCAGTTATAGAGTTCTTGACATGTCACTTGGTGTAAAGCAAGACAACTACCACACAAAGGAAACATCCACAGTTAATGTTCTCGGGAGAGGGACATGTTGCATCTAGGAAGTACTTGGAGGTTTTTTGAGAAATCAATGTTATGAGCTGAATTTGTGCCTTTCTCCCAAATTCATATGTTGAAGCCCTACCCCCGGCTGCTTAGAATGTAGCTGTATTTGGAGACAGGATCTTTAAGAAGGTCATTAAGTTAACATGAGGTCATATGGGTGAGCCTTAATCCCATATAACCAATGTCATATGGAAAAGACTAGGACACAGACACAGAAGGAAGACCATGTGAAGACAGAGGGAGAAGACAGACATATGCAAGCCAAGGAGAGAGGCCTCAGGAGAAACCAACCCTGTTGACACCTTGATCTGGGATTCCTAGCTTCCAGAATTGTAAGAAAATTAATTTTTATTGGCTGGGCACAGTGGCTCACGCCTGTAATCCCAGCACTTTGGGTGGCCAAGGTGGGTGGATCATGAGGTCAGGAGATCGAGCCCATCCTGGCCAACATGGTGAAACCCCGTCTCTACTAAAAATACAAAAATTAGCTGGGCATGGTGGTGTGCACCTGTAGTTCCAGCTACTCAGGAGGCTGAGGTAGGAGAATCACTTTAACCTGGGAGGCAGAGGTTGCAGTGAGCAGAGATCACACCAGTGCACTCCAGCCTGGCAACAGAGCAAGACTCTGTCTCAAAAAAAAAAAAAAAAAAAAAATTAATTTTCTTTGTTTGAACCATTCAGTTGGTGGTCACGAGTTCTCTTTAACATTGGTCTTTGTGTTAGTCAGCAAGGGCTGCCATAACAAAATACCACAGACCAAGTGACTGAAACAATAGAAATTTGTTTCTTCACAGTTCTGGAGGCTGGAAGTCCAGATTAAGTTGTCAGTCAGTTCAGTTTCTCCTGAGGTCCCTCTCAGTTTGCAGATGACTACTTTCTTACTGTGTCTTCATGGAGCCTTCGCTCTGGGCAAGCTCATCCCTAATGTCTCTTCTTCTTTTTATAACGATACCAGTCATATTGGATTAGGGCCCCCTCGTCTGACCTCATCTCAACTTAATTACCTTTTCAAAGGCCCTATCTCCAAATACAGTCTCATTGCGGGTTACGACTTCAACACATGAATTTTGAGGGAATATTACTCAATCCTTAACAGTCTTCAAACATGTAATCTTTTCTACTTTTAGTTGTAGCTATTAAAAGTGTTCGCATCTGGGCAGCAAAGATCTGGTCTGGAGACCCAGCTAGGACATCCCTTCTGAGTGTCATCAAGTTGATCACAAATTCTGATAGTCTTTAGTTCTCTAAAATGGGAATCCAAACCCTTATCTCACCAGCTCATTGTGGAAATGTAATCAGACTGTTGATGAGAGTATTTTGTGAACTATGAATGATAAAGTTTCATCATTGATATCCTCATGAGAATCCGTGTACCTCCCAATGTTTACTTCTATCTGGAAGGTCATGCTCCACATAATCACCAGGTCCAGCCTATTCTTTCCCCCATTGACACATTGCCTAGGTTCTGTTTCCCACTGGGCCTGGGTTTGGCTGGATTGCTTCCTACATCATTTCCAAGATCATGACTATTTACAGTTTCCTCACCTATAAATGGGATAATAGTATCTGTTTCACAGGTGTTTTGAGGATTAAATGATTCAATAGCTGTGAAACACTTAAAACAGTGTTAACATATATTAGGCACTGTATAATTGCTGTTAACATCACCATCACTATTACTAGAAGTGCAGATAACTTTTTTATGTAAGTGATGATGTTGTTACCCTATTTGATTCCCCTTTATCAGGCTCATGCACCCAGTGCCCAGCTCCAGCAGGTGTAGGTTGTCTCAGGTTCATACCTGCAAACTTTTCTAGAAGATTGCCCTTGACTGACAGGAATCGACTCCACTAAGATATCCGGGGATGCTGTGTCTCAACCCCTGGAGGCAATCCATAGCCAACGACTGACTCATACAGTCCCCTCTGTATAGGACAATCTCCGTGGTAGGATTCACTCTCTAGGATTCTGCGATGGGAAAAATCTGAGGCTAGATGTTTTCTGAAACCACATCTTTGCTCAGCTTCTTTCCCTGCCCCACCTTGTTTCCCTTACCCCTTGCAGGATTCTCCTGAAACCACCCCCTCAGTGAATCACTCGCCCAAGAATTTGCATGTCAGGCTCAGAATCTAGGGAACCTGAGAAACTCACCTTAGAATTAGACCATGGTTTTATATATTTTCTTGTCTCTACCATGATATCTAACTTAATTAATACCAGTCTCTTATTAGGCATTTAAACAAATGTTTTCTGGTTAATCAGTTGAAATAGCTTCAAAATATCTCCAGGAATAAATACTGGTAATCTCAGTTTCAAAGACCTAGAGATCAAGAATGTAGTTGCAAAATACAGAAACTGTGCGAAGGAAAAATGTGTTCACC